AGGACAATTTAGAGAACTAAATATGGAATGAAATTAAACTTGTAAACTGTTCTGCCCTTCCTAATAACAATAAAACATGAACCTGAAGTTTGATACTGAAAAACAATTTCTCAGGTAGAGAAAAGTAGCCTTGATACTGAAGTTTGATACTGAAAAACAATTTCTCAGGTAGAGAAAAGTAGCCTTCCTTCAAATGCCTAATCAATCTGCATAATTCTGCTGAAGATCTTTCACAGATGTCTTGCTTGCTAATCTCTTGCCCATAGCACTGGAACTAAATTACTAATGTTCTACCTGAGCATAAATTTAAGTAGAAACAACCATTCTTGCCTTGATTATTTCAAAACTTAACTGAAACAAAATGGAATATTCCAGAAATACTTTATTAATAGTCTTATAGTAATGAAAGCAAAAATAAGACTCCAAAAAATTTTGATAGTCTGACTTTTAAGATTTTACCTGTTTATTTCAAGAGCCTATCTCATCACACAAAGCATTGGTGGGGACTCAGAAGAGAACTTATGAAATCGCTCTTTTTCTTGCTTGTATTCTCTTTCCATATGGTGAAGTAGATTTAGATTCACACCTACTACTTTTTAGATACCTTCTCTAGACATTTGTTGTCTGTCATGGTAGCCATTAGCTACATGTGGGTATTAAATAACAAAAATATGACCAAACTAAAATTTACTTTATATTTTAATACTTAAAGATATCTAGACTTTTCAGATAAAATTATATTAAAGGTAATTTCACCTATACCTTTTTTTTTAAATGGTGGGGGTTGGGTTTGGTGTTGGTCTATATCATTGACGCTCAATGCTTACTGCTGGCTCTGAACTTAGGGATCACTCCTAATGGTTCACTGGGATTGAAACTGTGGTCAGTCATAAGCAAGGCAAGTGCTTATCCTCTGTACTATCTCTCAGATTTCCTCACCCTGTGTCTTTTTTAAGTTTGTGTGTATCTGTTTTGTTTTTGGGTTTTTTTTTTTTTTTTGGCTAGACTAGTAGTTGCTTGGGGATTATTTCTGACTCTGCACTCAGGGTTCATTCTTGGCAACCACGGGGAACTACGTGGGATGCAAGGTATCAAATTCTGGTCAGCTGCTTGCAAGCAAGCACCCAGTCCACTCTACTATCTCTCTGGCCCGAAGCTTAACACACTGATGCTGGCACATACCATCAGTTAACACTTGAGTGTGATTTGACTAACATAAATGGAAGCACTAGCATTAACATGTTTACATGAGTTGTAGCATAGAGTTAAGATCACACGTATGCCTGGTAATACATTTCTATTAAGCAGTCCTGGTACAGACCTAGAATGAGAGCAAATCATCTTTACCTTTACCATTTCATAGTTTCTGATATCTGCTGTGGGGGACTCACCTCTTTCAAAGGAAATGCTTCTTTTGCAACTGTGTACAGATGAGTGAACATTGCATAGCTCAACACAGAACCCAAAAATTTGATGTAAGTAAGCATCTCAAATAGAGTGATGAGCATGGAAATATGGATTCAAAAGCTCATTTTTTGGGGGAGGGGGCACACCTGGCTCTGCTCAGGCCTTACTCCTGACTCTGTGCTCCAGGATCACTACTGGCAAGGTTCAGGGTACCATTTGTGATGACAGGGATTGAACCAAGTGCAGCTGTGTGTAAGGCAGTTTCCCTAGCTGCTATACTATCATTCCAGCCCCTCATTTTCATTTTCTGGAAGGACCCTTTTCATTTGGAAAAGTAAATCTCTACCCTACAAACCCCGTGACTCATGAGCGGCAGCCTCTTTTATTCATTTTTCCATTTCTGATAGCAAGTGCACAGAAGGGCCTTTTCAATGAATATTTATTTGTTAAACCAATTGAATCTAGATGTCAGCGATAGCCTGTTAAAGAAAAAAGAAAAAAATGGAAAGTACATCAGTTACTTCCTCTTCTCTACAGACAAACATTTTAATGCTTTGCTGAAAGGACAGCTTCCACTTGAAACTAAGCTGAACAATATTTAATGGCTGGAGCTTCACTAGACAGTGTGATGATGATCTCAACACAAATGTTTTATCAAATGAGCACTCTAACCAAATGTTTCCATAACTGTGTACTTTATTTGGCTTTGGTGACAAAACAAATTAATGAATCTGACTTTTTTTCTTAAAAAAAAGTACCTAAAAGAGATTTTGGACGTGCTACTCTGGTGCTTGGTTTTGTCTTAATTTAGTACAAAATTCCCATTTTTTCTACTGAAAATGTTAGATTCCACCTAGCCACTGCTGATCATTGCCTAATAGCAATGCCAAGTAAATTTGTAGCAGGTAAGCAGCGGTGTACACAGACAGACAGACAGACAGACAGATGCACACACACACACACACACACACACACACACACCTTATATTCTGCTTATATATTCCAATACTAGGTTTACTCTAAGGCCAAGGTCTTGTGGCTGAAGCCCTGGCTCTTCCCACCCATACTCTGTTTAGCTTTGCTTCACTTTTCTGGCCTGGTCTGTACCTGCTTCTAGCCCCAGGAGTGACCTTCTCCAAGCTAGGCAAAATCATTGTGACAATTGCACAGTTCACCAGCTCCAGAGCCCAGGATCCTCTGAGGAGAAGTTAGGACTGCTGAGAAAGCACAGGCTGCTGAATGAATGTCCCTCTCCTGCCAGACATAAACCTGGAGACAGAATTATGAGAAACCAGATTCATCTTGCCTCATGTCCTTCTCAGTATTCTTCCTGGCACAAAAGAAAGAAGGAATACCAATAAAAGATAATATAAATAAACATTTAAAAATAAAGTTTACTAATTGAAAGGAATGATAGATGGGTGGAAGCAGTCTTCAAAATCTATTGTCATGCCTTTGTGGACTTTATTGCTTATCAGCATTTTCCCCTCAAGAAAAACAGAACAGCAACATTTGCTCAGGAAAAAAAAAAGCAAATTGTGTTTCTTCCTTTCTTATTACTTTTATTGTTTGAGGTTTCCTTTAGACTATAATGTGGCATTGTGATTTTGAGATGGGGAAAAAAACAATTCTTGTCTCTCAAACATAAGAATGTGATTGTATGCTATTGTTGCCAACAATGAGCTAAAGAGGTTAATGGATCACATATCTGGCAAACAGCCATCTTTCCTCCTGCTCAATATATTAAACAATATCCATTTTGTTGTTGCTGCTGAGCTTATGATTTTGTCTGAGTAGTTGGTAAATAAGTTTACTTAGATTTAAGTGTCTTTTTCTAGAGCTCAACAGCTTTGTCCTTCTGAGTGCACCCTGAAAATATGAAAGTGCAGCCTGAGCCCTGAGCTCCGGGCCACTGAAGGAGATGGGTAGAGTGGGTCTGAAGAAGGGGGGTTAGAAGGTGGTGGTGGTGGTGGTGGGGTGGCTGTTATATGAGAATCTAGAAATATTGTGCCTGTGAATTGCATCCGACCTTTCATTTTCAGATTGCCTAAATTAGCTGAGTGAAATTACCATAATAAAAAGGAATGGATACTGGAGAAAGTGCACCACAATTCTTCCTAGCGCTGTTGCCAGTGATCCTTTCTAACAATCCTCTAATTTAATGAAGCAGCCCTCTCTACTGACACTAGGTTGGCTCAACTTAGCGATCTATGACTGTCATCTGAAACAGAAAGACAATAAGCAATCATGCTGTTTTCCTGCCAACCGGGACCTTTCGGTGTATTATATTCGTGCAATGGAATTAGCAAGAGACCTAATAACGTAAAGAGAAAAAGGCGGAGGGAGGGGCGGGGGCAGGTGTTCATCTTTAAGGAAAAGACAAAGAGAAAAGTTTACCGATGAGAAAGATAATAGTTTTCAGGGAAATGTTGGTAGAAGTGGGGATAGATCTAGAGGGAGGGGAATGAAGTCGGAGTGAAGTAGAATTACATGATCTCAGCACAGCGAGATCCCATCGGACGGACCAAGAGCACAGTGCTTAGGGCACAGACCCACCTTTCTGCTGGGAGACAGGGGTAGGAGGCTCTTAAACCGTCCAGGAGGGGAGTGTGCCTCTGGAGTGGGGATCGGGAAGGTGGAAGCTGGCGGAGTCCCGAGCTCCGCTTCCCAGCCTGGGCGGTGATCGCCCCCTGTGACTCGGGACGCAACAGCAGTCTGAGCACCGCCCCTGCGGCCGCCCATGGGCGTCCCAGACCTCCTTAGACACCTGAATGTCTCAAGCTTCAGCCCTAGGACGCTCTCACCCCAAAGAGAAGGGTTTAGGTTCTTCAGAGATAGATAGCATCGACTTCTGTGCCCCCGGATTCTGCCCTTTCCGGGGTCCCCAAACTAGGACCCTAGCCCACCGGGGAACCCTGCGCGCCCCCATCAGGCCTGTCCAGCTCGCGGTTCCCGCGCCAGGGTGGGACACGCCAGGGCACCAGCCACAGGACCTCGGCCTCGGGGTAAATCTTCTCCACCCCCTTCTCCACCCCAGGCCCTGCCATCTCCTGCTGCCAGCCGCTCCGCTGCCAGCGCCCCTCTCCTGGGCGGAAGACACCTGCGTTTCTTTCCCCACCCTTCTCCTCCGCCCTTTGCGCTGCGGTTCCTCCCGAGCCTCGGGGAGCTCAGGAGCGGCGGCGGGAGGAGGGGCAGCGGAGGCGGGGGGTGCGGAGGAGCAGGGCGGGGTGGGTGGGGAGAGCGCCGGGAGGGAGTGGACTGGTAGGCACTCTGCAGCTGGTGGCGGGGCCCGGGGCCCTCCCGCGCGCCCGAGTGATGGAGGGGAAGGTATTCGCTTAGACACGCACACACACAGACACACGCGCGCACACAGCTGGGCACGGCTCCGGGAGGCAGCTGGCGGCTCGGGCGCGCAGGGGGGCCGGACGGCGGTGACAGCGCCAGCCGCCCGGAGCGGGGCGCCCTCCCAAGCTTGGCACGGGAGGCTCCGGGACTCACGAAGGCGGGGGGATCCCCGCCGCACCGACTGTCGCTCTTGGGCGAGGACCCGGAGGAAGCCGGCTAGCCGAGGAGCTAGCTGTCACTGCAGACGCCCGGAGGCGCGTCCCGCAGCGCGGGGGTCCCCGGCCGCACGGGTGCCCGCGGCGGGCGAGGAGGATGCGCACCGCCTCCCGCAGAGCTGCTGCGGGCCGAGCCAGCGCGCCCAGCCGGGCTCCGGCGGCCGCCGGTGCCGTGCCCGCGCCGCGGGAGCGCGCCCTGCCGCACCTGGCACAAGCCTCTCGGGGAAGTGCAGGAAACGCGCCCTAAACTCCACTACTTGGCGCCCGCCTCCTCCCGCCGCTCCCCGCCCGCGCCGCCTGCGTGTGGGCCCGCCCGCTCCTACTCACGCGCACACGCACACGCGCAGCCCGGCCCGCCCGCGCCCCTTCGGCACCACTCGCGGCCGCCCGAACCCCAGCCCGGCCGTCCGAAACTCCGGGACCAACTGCCGCCGGGACTGCGGGAGCCTCCTGGTGGCCGGCGTCACCCGCCGCGGGTCCTCGCGCCCGGGGCTCCCGGCCTGGCCAGCGTCGCCGGGGACGATGGTGAGCACCGCGCGTTGCCCGCCTCGCGCTGGGAAGGGGTTTTAGCACCAGGACCTCGTCGATTTGGGGCGGGGTGGGATGCCACGGGGGTTGCAGAGGCCGAGGGGGTGCAATCCTTTGGATGCCAGTCGAAGTATTTTGTGGGGCGCGGTTCTCTTGGCCACTGCCTGGGGAAGACTTTCAGACGTTCCCCCGGGGCTCGGGGTTAAACTAGGGCAAAATGAGAAACGAAGGGGAGGGATTCCCACGTTCACTGTAGGGACTCCTGTGTAGTGTCTGTCTGTGTGTCCGTCTGTCCGCTCCCATGCGGGGCTGGGCGCAGCGTCGTGTGCACTCTTGGAGAGAAGGAACTCGCGTTCTAGCGCGCGGCAGAGTTTGGGGGGTTGAGCCCGGACACTTCCCGGGCTGCTTATTGGGCTGTCGCTTGGAACGCGACCAGGTTTGGGGTAGTGGAGTAGGGGTGCGGGGGGTGGAGTGGGGTGGGGGGGATTGAACAGCAGAAGGATGGTGAAGCCCGGGCAGAGTGCAGACAGACTCAGTTAACTTGAGGGTGGGGTGCTTCCTCTACCAGAGAGGGCCCTCACACCCCACCTTGTAGCACCGGTTCCAGTCCCTGAGCACCTTCATTTCAGGCACACACGCGCGCGCACCCACACTGTGACGGGCGCAATGGGGGGGGGGGGGGGGATGAGTGTCATATTGTTAGTCCTAAGAAGTGAGCGAGATCTCTGTGTGAGTACTGACTGGAGGGCAGAGACTCGACTCCCGGGTCTTAGGAGACCACCTTGCTAGCGGGAAGCGGAAAGGGCGCCCACCCTGATGTGCAGGCCACTGCCTAGCCTTCCCAGTGCGAAGAGTACAAACCTCCACTCCAGCTGGAGTCGCCTCATCTGGCCCGGCTCAGCCTCCGGGTTTCAAGGCACCCGCCTGAGGGAGCCTCTGCTCAGACCCGAGATCTCCCCAATACTCAGCCGGTGGGTCTCTGTCTCTCTCCCCCACCTCTCTCCCTCTCCCTCTCTACATTCTTCCTACCCTGCCCCCCATATACTGGTCTCTTCATGAGAAACATTGATCCCTTAAGGGGAGGTTTAATATTTGCAAAGTGCTTTATATCATATTACTTCGTGGATACATTTAATTGCACTGTAACTCTTCTCTGATTTATGTAAACTTAGTATGATAAATAGCTCGCAGGGTCGCCTTGGGCATTGGGGTGGGAGCAAGAGTTGGTGGGCGTCCTTTCTGTAGCAGCGCGCCCTTCTAAACTGATTTGCTAGAAGTAATATAAAGCTGGTGTTTCTAAAAGGTTTTGCTCTCCGTTTATTTCAGGGCTTTAGACGAATGTCTCCACATTGCAATGTAGTTCAAATATATTCTGCTTCTATTCCAATAAAAAGTTAAAGAGAAGATAATAAAAGGAAGTTACAAATTGGTTCTCAAAAATAAGGACGATTTTGAAAAAATATTTTTGTTGATATCAGTATGTTGCAAGGTTTTTTTTGTTTGTAGTTGTCACTTTTATGATTTCTTTTAGAGAAGCTCTTGAAAGGAGAACTATAAACAATGCTAGTACCTTCTTCCCTCTATATGACTTCGAATGGTCCTTGCTTAAAGTGACCGAATGAACTATAGGGTACTGCCTTTCTCAGCTTAAGAAGTATAAAGGGATAAGTCTCCATTGAGCTGATGGGGACACAAGATATTCCAAAAAACATAGTAATGGAAAGAAGCTGTTGCATAAATGTAACTCCCTCCAGTGTGTGGAATCTTAACTGAAAATGAAAACTGCTGTGATTCCTTTCAGATTTCTCTGAGCTATTTAAAAATATCATTTTCTCGATCAAAAAATAATATAGAAGTATTGTTGATAACATGGAACAATTTTGTCTAGTAGACACCTAAAGTAGGTTATGTGGGAAATTGGAAGTATAGTATTCAGTGGAGTTTCACAAAAGTACTGAGGTCACTGTCTAAATTAAGCCCCAAATTCGTGCTTACATTTTTATATTTGAAGTGGCTCCCTTTGACATCTTTGTGAGGAGGTGCTGCACACAGAGAGTTGATTATGCTTGCATCGTTGTCCCTCGCATTTTGCAAGCATACACAGATGTTTTTGAATGAATAACCTTCTTACTCACTGAATTTTCACTCATTCAGAAAGTATTTATTGAGCACAGGAGCACACACAATATGCAAAGCTGAGCTGGGTGTTATTTTAAACAACTAGAAAGAATTTTCAGTACAAGCTCCTACACTGTGTAAAAAGAGCTGCAAAGCAGTGGCTTACTTAGTCTGTCAGTATCTTACCCAAAGTAGCTGGTCAGCAAAGAGTTGTTGACTCAAAAAATCATGTAAGATCTTAACTGGCCAACTTTGCTTTCACCATAAATTCTTCCATTATTCTTAACCCACCATACCATTTAGATTTGACTCAACTTATGAGAATTGATGCTGACTTTAATCTTCTTGCTCTTTGAATACTTTGGAGAAATGTATCTGTGCACTGCACTGCTCTAGCTTTCTGTGTATGGTTTCTATGGAGCATTGCCAAATCTGCATATGCCATTAGTATTCATTTATAAGTAAATGCAAATGTTCCTGTTGTATTGGGGGGAAGCACACTTGAATTCATGGATCACACAAATATTTTTCTCCTCATTTTTCTCCTCTATTTTTATGTCTCAGAAATGGAAACATCTCTTAAAATGCAATTATATGTAAATGAGCAAGTTAACAAAAATGGTTACTTGAGTTTTTTAGAAAATGGAAAATGCCTTATGGAAATTGTAGTGGAGGATAATTTTTTTGACTCTTGACATGTCTGGCAGGATATTCTTTTATTTTCGGGATGTTCATTCATGAATAAATTACTTCCAAGGTAACTTCCTGGTAATGAGAACTGGTGGAGGAGGAAATGCTTACGAGAAATGATGCTAAAAACTCTGGGAACAGAGTATAAGCAGTAATGGTAGGACTACACCATTAAAATTATGTGAACACTTGTATATTATGCTCATCTATATAATGTGTGATTTTTCAACTTTATTTTTAATACTTTCAAATATTTTCAAATGCTGATGTAATTGCAATTAAGAGGTCTAGCTATATGGTAATTGGTTATAGAGTTATAGTTGTTTAAAAAAAAGTGAAAAATTTGAGAGGAGAAAACAAGTCAAGGTAGAGGATCATTCAGATCACAACTTTATCTTTATTCAGGTTCTGACCACTTTATTTAGGAGAGGAAGGGGAATCTTAAAATAAAAATATTGATTAAACTGTCATTGTCAGCTAAATTGTTACTACTTAAAAAACATATTTTTTATTTTTCCATTCATTTAATGTGAATTCACTAAAATCAACAAAAATACAAAATACTTTTTTGGAATATAATTTAACTGTAGACAAATTTTGCTTGTTACAGAATCAGTGTTTTAGCTCTCCAAGATATTATTCTAACTGCTGTAGCAGAAGTTCAGTTAAAGCAAGAATAACCTCATAAAAGAAAATTATATTAGTCATAGGAAATATTTGTAGTTATCTGACTTCAGATCACTTTACTTAGACTGCTACATTTGTAAATCTATACATAAGTACTCTACATGCTTATATGGCTTGTGAAATCATCATCATCTTGAGATTGGTAACATAAATACTCAACTAATTTGATGTTATGTCTTCAACATGTAGTAAAGTTTTAACAGTTTCTGAAAGGAAACAGTATGTTCCTGACACTATTCACAGAGTTTTACTAATATTAACTCACTTAACTTCAGTAGCTGCCCTGCTCGCCCATATTTTACTGGGGAGAATATGTTGGTAAGGAGGTCTTATTGTTCCCATTTAGGACGTGGGATGAGTGAAGTTCAGTGAGTCAAATAAATGGCTCACGATTCATTGCAACAGAACTGCAACAGACCAGGCCTTGGAGCCCTGACAGACCACTAATGCTATGCTTCTGCTCTAGAAAAGATAGTTTTTTGAGTTGAATCAAAAAGGGAATCAAGATGGGTAACTAGTGAAGTGGTAAAGCAACTGCATCTGAGCAACTGGGATTTACAAGTTTTCAACTTAAATTATTTTTTAAAAAAGTCATAAAGATGTGATTGTCATGAAGCTCTGGCATAACCTGGATGAGTGTAATGTTTGAACAGTGCTGTAAACTTAATGTACTTTTTAATGGACTCTAATTTTCTTAGGTTCAGATGCTTTTAAATTAGATAACTGTAAGAACTGGTGTCATATTTAAGTAGTTTTAATAGCTTATAGGATCTGATACTGAATGTTTTATGTTTCCCATAATATCCTTATAATGTGAAATAACCTTATAATGTGAACATCTTGCTCAGAGGTCGATGTTATGTGTTTCCATATGATACTTGCCAAAGGAACTGTAGCTTATATGAAAGTGTGAAATGAGACATATTCTGTTCTGAGCCACGTGGCAAGCAGTAGGCATCCAATTAATGTTTGCTGGTTGACTTTATGCAGGGTATTCTGGAAGTTACTATTTCAAAACTTAAGAAACTTCAAATAACTTTATAATTGTTAGTTTCAGGATATTATTTCACATTAAATATAATTTTTCCTTTGTCATGATGCTCTTAGAACATTAAATCTATTCTTGAAACATTATCCCTGTGAAATAATAATTTTTATGAGGCTGAGAGACTGGAAATTGGAGAAGGATGGTCTGAAAAGAGTAAGATAATACATTAAATATTTAAATTTAAGAGTTAAAAAAGTTGCCTAAAAAGCAAATATGACATTAATAGAATCTTTTCACATATGTGCTAATAAAGTAGCACAATGGCCCTATCATACATATGCATAATCACACCATTTTGTGGCAATTTGGAGAACTATTTAGTGACTTGTTAAAAAGGCACATAAAGCTTTTTTTACCTTAGCTAACTAGCCAAAGTTAATGAAAAAAGTCCTAATAATTCTGAACATGCCTCCATATAGATAAGGTATTTAGTGTAGTATAAATACTGAAGTCA